TAGTAAGGAAAGGTTTATATTACCACTTACTGAATGTGTCTATGCACCAGGTGTTAGGCTAAGTGGTTTACATGCATTATTTAATGCTCAAAAGAACCCTGGGGAAGACACTATTGTTATGTTCTGTTTATAGACTGTCTTGGTTAGGAGTTGAGTTTGGCTGCCTGGTAAAACCTGTCCCTAGTAGCACAACCAAATCAAAACTTAATTTTCTCAAATAACAGCAAATTAGAGATGGACAGGCATGGTGGAAAGAGTGGCTTCTTCACACCTTTCTTACCATGTAGCTTTGCTGTTGTGGAGATCAGGAGTCTGTGGTTTTTCCAATGTGTTCTAAGTAAGAGAAAGGGTAAAGGGTAAAGGGCAAAGTTAGAAGGGTAAGAAACCTTCTCTTTGTGGGGTTTTGTCTTTTTAGTTGGGAAGGAAAGCCATTCCCTATCTAATTCTTGAGGGCTCCAACTGTGTTATGTGGCCACACTTATCTGTCAGGGAGTCTGAGGACTGATTTTTTTTCTCTTTACTGTTGTTTTCAAAGGTGGGCAGATCTTAACCCTGAACAAAACTGGCATTCTAATAGTAAAGAGAAAGGACACACATGGGTTAGCACCACCAGTGCCTATAACACCGATGAAAAAATTGGGCCTCAGAGATGCTAAGATTTTTGTTCAGGGTCAGATATGTGGCAAAATCAGACAGAAACCCGTGTCTACCTGATAGAAATTCATGTTCTTGGCTTTTCTGAGAGATGAACTCTTCATCCTGAAGCATTGTAATTTGTGTGTGTGTGTGTGTGTGTGTGTGTGCACGCGCGCGCAGCTGGAGATCGAATCCAGAGCCTCATGCACACTCCATAAATGCTCTACCACTAGCCAGATACCCCAACCCTAGAATTATCATACTACTTATTCATCCTTCTTTCCTTTCTGGATTTGAGTTGTTGAGTATCAAGAATAGATTCACTATTCACCTTGGCATTCCAGATGCTTGCCTATAGTTTGTTAAATGGATAAATGAGCAAATGCTATGATTACAGTAGTTTTTCAGCTAAAATATCTTTTGGGCAGAATATTCTTTGATGTTCTTTTCTTCTGTAATATTCCATAACTACCTATTCCCAGACAAGTAGCTGCAAATGCACATTAAAAATGATCATGGTCTTTGTGTTGCCATGGGTACATTTAGCCTCTTCTACTATTCATAGGCTTCTAGGCTCGTCTCTCTCCCTAAATGCTTAATGCATGTTTACAGGCCACAGTCCAATTTCTCTTGTTCTGCCCGGTCATTCAAACATTCCCATGTTGCATTGCTCTACTTCTTAGGGCCTTGAGTGCTACCCGAATAACAATAATTTGAGTCACAGGCAGCTCTAAATCCCAATTCTCATTTCTTGTCTGGGCATATGAAGTCCAGAAGGACCTAACATTCAAATTTCAGTATTTTGGCAAAGCAGATAGTGAGGGGAGAACAATTCTCAAGATACCAGTTCAGTAAATTTTTTTTAGAAAACCGATCGCTGACATGCCCAAGTTAAAAAAAAGGGGGGGGTTGTCTTTCAACAATGGCCCCTAGGAACACGCTGTTTCTCCTTCAAAGCCCTATTGCTTGGTTGAATAGGATCACAGTGTAGGGTACTGGCAACTAGAAACCTGAGCTAATTCGATTCAATAATGAACATTCAGACACTTGGACTCCACCTCGGTGGTGCAGATGGCAATATTAAGAGTTGTCTGGGTTTTCTCTTTCCCCATGGGTCTCTGGCCAGCAGCTTACTATCACTAAAGAAATTAGATAATGAATAATTACTACTTATTAAGTAGCTACTGTAGGTTAAGGCATTATGCTAAGTGATTTATTTTGTCTCATTTAATGCTTACAACAACATTGTGACATTATTATTGCCATCCTACACGAGAAATGTAAGGATTAGTGAAATAGAAGAATTTGCTTAACATAGTGGTTGCTCCAATGGACAACTTAGGGAGTTTGCCACATCTGAATCCTTAGCAGCCTTAATCAAGCCACTTGAGATATTAAGGAACTTCAATAATAGTGATAATAAAATTCTTTGTCTATTGATAACGAACATTGTTCATCTCACTTAAAATGTAAATAAAATAATGGTAACATTGGTAATAGCCCACGAGTGCCGCATGGATGGTTCGTATCACTGAAAGCTCTAAAAGGTTCATCATCACTGCCATAGGCCTTTCTGACCGCTGCCCCGATCTGAGTACTGGTGATTGAACCCAGGGCTTTGCATTGAGCTATATACCCAGCCCTTTTTTATTTTGAGACAGGGTCTCACTAAGTTCCTCAACTGCCCACACTGGACTTGAACTTGAAACCCTCATGCCTTACCCTCCTAGACATGTCAGGCTCAAAGTTCCTAATGTGTAAAAGTCAGCAATCCTTGCTGTAATCCTTTTGGGAAGGATTGCTATTATTACCTCAATTTTTAGATAAAGAAACTGAGGGATAGAGACATTCAGTAGCTTCCATAGGTCTCACTTGTAAGTGGCAGAGCTAAACAAATTTTTTTTTAATTTTTTTTTCTTTTCAAAGTTTTATTGATAAACATATAGCAATGAGAGAGTTTCAAATCAAATCGAAAGTACAGTTTCAACAAATAATACACTGCATATATTCTTCTTAGTGGTTAATTGCTGTACAAGATGCAGACTTGTGATCCTACTTACAAACACCATTAGAAAAAATCATTCTATTCATTAAGAGAATGCAACTATATATCTATCCCAACCACTTTGAATACACAGATACAAAATGGACATTCATAGTTATACCCCAATTTTTTTAAGTTCCGTTGTTGAATATTATAGGTGTGTAAGCTCAGCAAAATATTCTAAAAGAGTCCAGTAGCCCATAATAGCATTGGGTCTTCTGTTTAACTGGCAATGTCAGAAATTATTGACCTGAGTCCCCCACAAGAGCTAAACAAATTAACACAATGTTTTTATTTGGAAAACCCAGCTGCAAGGCAAGTTTTCCAGGTCTTCCTTCCAACAATCTATAGGTCCTCCAACACCTTCTGTAAAGGAACTCTTAGCCACTACTGGTGCAAGATTACCTGGGCAACAGGTAGTAAAACCTAGCTTCCCATCCCGGATGGCCTGACTCAGAAATAGGAATATTACTAATGTACTGTCCCAGCTCTAGCAGGCTAAATCCAAGTTCAAAGGCCATGCCACAGCCTGGTTGCAAGTGACCTCAGAAATCCACCTAACCCCAGGTCTCTCTCAATTTCTGCACTATTGACATTGTAGGCACCATGACTCTTTGTTATTGGGCAACATTCCTAGTCTTTATTCACCAAATGCAACAGCCCTAGTTATAGCAGTAGAAAGTAAAGAAATAAAAAATCTCGAGATACTGACAATTATCAGGGGTTGTGGTGGTCAAAAGGCAAAAATCCACCCCTGATTGATCTAGGGTGGAGCTGGAATTCAAAGATATGGTGACTTGTTAAAAGCAGTTAGCAAGGCCAAGACTAGAATCCAGAACATTTATGCAACATCATTTTCCCCTATAATGTACAGGGCACATTAAGGAACCCAGAGGGAGTTCTAGCCTGGTAGGCTAAGAACCCATTACAAGTATCTAACTGCATGAAGCTGGTAAGAAAGTGCTACTAAGGCAGGAAGGTGTAGAGAAAGTGTTGGGATCTGCTGTCCTGACATCTCGATGAGCCACATTTTTTTTTCCGTAGAATTCAACCCAGCTTCAAGTTTATCAATGGAACAGAGATCGCGGTCTCTACCTCTTTTTTTGCCTTGTTGAAACAAAGTTTCACTATGCAGTCCTGGCTGGCCTTGGACTCACTTTGTAGAAGAGGTTGGTTTCAGACTCGCTGCAATATTCTCCTGCCTCTGCCTCCGAGGACTGGGATTACAGGCGTGTGTCACCGCACGCGGCCGAAGTCTTTACTTTTATCACCAGCTGTACTATGGATCTGAACGCACTGGGCAACTGGAAAGCTTTTATTAACCTCAGGTATTATTAAGATCATCAGGGAGGTGAGAATTATGATGAGAGTAAAAGCTCTCAAAATGGTTGTAAGGGGTGGCTTCATTCCGTGATTTCTCGAGATAGCTAATCTTACGTGGGAGAAAAAGCTAATAGAGGCTCCCTCTCTCGCATACTACCCCTGCCTCCCCAGGAGCCCTAGGGGCCAGACAGACGAGTGCACTGAGGTCTCAACTTCGCGCAACTCGTCCAGCAAGCTGGAGCGGATCCCGGCCAAAGGGCCCCCTCTAGCTCCGCCTGCCCCAGGCTGCAGCTCCGCCCTGAGGGCAACAGACCCCGCCCGCTACACGCGGGCTGGCACTCCAGCCTCCCAGCCCCAGCCCCAGCCTAGGACAATCCCTGGCGGGTGCCGGAGATTCCCGAGCTCCCACGATCGCTTCCCGGCCTCCCTCGGGCCGCCGGCGCGGAGGCGGCGGAGATTGCCGAGGGGCACTGGCTCCGCCCCCTTTGCGGGCTCGGCGGCCACTGCCCCCTCACCACAGCCTCCAGCGCGGGCCGGAGTCCCACATCCCGGTCCCTCCCTCCCTCTTTCTTTCTCCCCGCCTTCCCGGCGCTGCCACAGTGGCGGGTCGGAGGATCCCGGCCAGTCAGGTCGTTCTTGCCTCGCGCTCCTCCTCCTCCCAAATAAACAGCCCTCCCCACGCCTCTGGAGCCCGGACCGCCCCCTTCCTCCCTCGGCCGGCGTGTTGTGAGGGAGAGTGTGAGTGAGCCAGCGAGCGAGCGAGCGCGGGCCGGCGGCGACCCCGCGAGTGCGCGACGCCGG